TTCGTGTTTTTGTCGGTAACGCGTGCCCGGAGCCATTTCCCTGGGTGTAGATTTCAAGGTGAATGCCCCTTTCCGTTGTATATCCATTTTATGCAAATGAATCGTTGTTCTGTAACACCTGTGAGGTAGACAAGTGCTTACGTTTTGTAGTTAAGTTTGAGGGCCAAGATTTTACGTTTTTTTAGGAGGGGAAGGAGGGAGGGACTGGGTGGGAGGAATAGGTGGGGGAGGGTTGGGATAGATTGATGGGAGATAAGAGAAGCACAGGTAAACACACTGATTGAATAGAAGTTGACAGGTAATATAGTTACACGGGATGGGGAAAGAGAGAGAGAGAAGAGAGAGGAGAGAGAGAGAGAGAGAGAGAGAGAGAGAGAGAGAGAGAGAGAGAGAGAGAGAGAGAGAGAGAGAGAGAGAGACAGTGACAGAGAGAGAAACAGTGACAGAGAGACAGAAACATAATGATAAAGAGAGAGAGAAAAAAAAGAAACAAGCAAAATATAATCAGACTAATTAACATCATCCTCCAAATTCAAACCATTCTTCCCAAGTTCATACCAAAGCCTGAGCAAGACAGATGTTAAAAACTTAAGAAAACGGTAACAAAACAAACATTTACTGATCACAATCCAACTAAATCTAGACAAAAAACACACACAAGTATGAGAGAGAGAAGAGAGAGAGAGAGAGAGAGAGAGAGAGAGAGAGAGAGAGAGAGAGAGAGAGAGAGAGAGAGAGAGAGAGAGAGAGTAAACATCAGAGGCCAAAGTATTCATGTAGCGATTGTAAATTATGAATTAATGCACTTTTGCGGTAACCTGCTCGAAACTGTTCTTAAGGGCGGGAATGACAAAGCACCCCCAAGCATTTTCAACTTTACCTCAAGTCGGGTGTCTGCCAGTGTCAGCTAAACGACGATTGATATCTGGCTAAAAGGGTGTGTGCGAGGAGGGAGAGGAGGAGGGAGGAAGGGAGGGAGGAGGGAGGAGGGAGGGTAGGGAGGGAGGGAGGAGACTAGGAGGGAGGTAGGGCGATAAGCAGGGAGGGGGGGAGGAAGAGTAGGAGGGAGGGAAGGAGATAAGGACGGAAGGAGTGAGAAAGAGGAGAAAAAAAGAAGAAAACAAAGAGAAAAGAAAAAAAATGAGAAAGAAGAGAGAAGAGAGAGAGAGAGAGAGAGAGAGAGAGAGAGAGAGAGAGAGAGAAGAGTATAAGACACAACAATTGTCGCCTTTTCTTTAATTCAGCCCTTCACCTCTTTCTCCCAAAGCTCACCCAACCCATTCCCCCTCTCCTCCCCTGCTCCTTCTTTCCCCTCCTCTTTCCAGCACTCCTCTCCTACTCCCTCCCTCCCTCTCTCCCTCAACACCCACCTCTATCCACTCCCTCTTACCTGTCTCTCACCTCCACTATTTACCAGTCTCTTCATGTGTGTCTCTCCTATCTGCAAAAATGATCACCAAAGCGCGGACAATTAACCGAGCAATTTTCCCCGTCTGTAAACCGCTCTGCCGGTAGATAATTATTGAATGATATTATAAATACTTCTCCCCCGATGTGGCTCTCGCACCAGGTGGCCGGACGGATGCCAGGGATGTTCCTTTCGCTTCAGGGGGGCGAGAGGGGCGGGGAGGGCGTGGGCGGGGAAGGCGTGGGCGGGAGGAAAGGCCGAGTGTCTTTTAGCGTCGATCAGCTGTTGGAACGACCCTCGATCACGCAAGACGTCCGCTGCGCCGTCGGATCAGAGTGGAGACGTCAAGTGATCTTATGCGACGTCGAAAGCGTTTCCGAAAGGGCGCGTTTCGGTAGTCACTGCTTGCATGCCCGAGGGAGAGAGTGACGAGCGCGAGTGGCTCTTAGGGCTTCTCTTCCGTTAGGCGAGTGTGAGATTGTCGACTATCATGACCTTGACGTATTGACCATTGCCAGGCAAAAGGCATCTTTACGCGTCAACTTGGCGACGTACATGGCCGTATGATTCTGGTTTAGAGGCAAATCTTCCCCCGTGTGTATTTTGTTTTTGATATTTGGCGTCGTTTAGAGTCTGAACATTTTCTAATGATACTTATGCACCTCCTAAAATGTTCAGAAGAAAATTTGAGATGTGCAGGACCCAGAAAGAACGCCTCCACCCCACCCCCCACACCCCTACCCGACACCCCACCTACCCGATGGGAAGTAACTCAAACTGTGCTATAATTTGCTCAAAATCTTATTGGATCGTAATTGGCAGTTTGCATTTTGACCCGGTAATATTATCGTGTGTTGCTGCCCCCTCTCCAACCCCCTTTACATCAACCCCGTAAGCCCCTCCCCCCCCACCATAAGACAAAAAACACAAAAAGCGCCCCCTCCACTCTCCCCCCCCCCTCTGCTTCACAAGCCAGCTCTTGTACCTCCCCCCCTTTCCCCCCTCCAACACCAAATATGTGCATGTGTCCATTTCAACTTTATCTCCACCCCTTTCCCCTCTAACCCATACCCCCCCCCCATTACTCCCTTCAGCAACTGTGACCCCCCTCACCCCCTCTCCGATCCCACGTGCAAGCACCCCCCTTCCCTCTCGCCCGCCCTTCCTCCTCCCCCTCCCCTTTCTCCCTTCCCTCCCTTCTCCCGGCCGTCCCCCCCTCTCCCGCCTTCCTATCCCCCTCTCCCGGCCATCCTACCCCCCTCTCCCGCTTTCCTACCCTCTTCTCCCGGCTTTACCTCCCCCCTCTCTCCCGGCCTTCCTAACCCCTCTCCCGGCCTTCCTACCCCCCTCTCCCGTCTTCCCCCCCCCCCCTCCTGTGTTTTGCTGGCTGGCCTCTGTCTGGCGCCGGTTCTTCGACCCTCTAGACATGACACGTGACAAATAAACATTAACGGGACGCGGAGAAACCGATGCATTATATATTACTTTGGAAAAAAAAGGAAAAAAAGAAAGAAAAAAAAAACAAAGCAAAGAACAAGAACAGGTGGTCGCCGCTTGCATAATAAAGTAGTATTTACAGACTGATTATATAAAAAAAAGTGGGAGCGAAAATGAGGAACATACTTTATAAACTAACCAAAAATTGAACATTCTCTCTGTTCTTCGCAGGCTTACAAGATGACTTTCCTTCCTTCATACAGCGGTTCTGACCTATTATTACTATCCCCTTTTTTACCGTTATTTACAATTTCCTCTTCGTCATTTCCTCTCATTTCTAGCACATCATATCATTACACGGGAACGCATACTTTCTTCATATTCACTTACTCTTGTGGGTTCAATACAGCTTTCAAGAAGTCAAATCCTGAATCAAAAAGATATGGAGAGAGAGAGAGAAAGAGGAAGAGAGAGAGAGGAGAGAGAGAGAGAGAGAGAGAGAGAGAGAGAGAGAGAGAGAGAGAGAGAGAGAGAGAGAGAGAGAGAGAGAGAGAGAGAGAGAGAGAGAGAGAGAGAGAGATTGTTAAACTATATTCATAAAAGTTTTACCTCGGATAAGTCATTGACGTAGTATAATGATGGTAAAAACGAGAGAGGGGGACAGACCGAGAGAAAAGAGAGAGTAAAAGAAGATAGTAAAAAAAAAAAAAGGGTTAAAAAAGCTAACATGACATTAGGAAATTCCATGACATGGATAGCACACTCTTCTAAGAACCTCAATTCATGCTACTACATGATTTATGTCAACTAAACCAACCAATATGTCGATCAACTGCTTCCAATTTTAAGAGTGAGAGAGAGGGAGAAGGGGGAGGCAGAGAGGGTGAGGGAGGGGGAGTACGAGAGAGAGAGGGTATGAAAGGGAGACAGAGGGACTGAGGGAGAGGGTGAGGGAAGGAGACTACGAGAAAGAGGGTGAGAGAGGGAGAGTACGAGAGAAAGAGGGTGAGAGAGGGAGAGTACGAGAGAAAGAGGGTGAGAGAGGGAGAGTAGAGGAGGAGACGAGAGAGAGTGAGAGAGGGAGAGGGTGAGGGAAGGAGAGGACGAGAGAATGCGTGAGAGTGATTTATGAGTGACAGAGAGAGAGACAGAAACAAAAAAGAGAGAGGAAGTGAGATTCAGCGACGTGGAACAAAAGTGAGAGCATTGTGAAAAAGTGAAGAGAAAAGAAAACAAAGAGAGGCGAGGAATTAACCGAAGATCGAGTCACGGCAATGAAAAATATTACCCGCACATAACAAGGTATCCCAAAATTGCATAATTGCTTCCCCCTCAGCGTGTGATATGTACGAAACGGGTGAACGTGATGTCACCAAAGGAAGGGAAGGGGGAAGGGCGGAGAGGGGAGAGTGTGAAGGAGAGAAAAGGAGGAGCCATAAAAAAGAGAGTGTGTCTGGCCGTTATTTAATTGCCTTGCATGTTGCACTGTCATCGGCAGGCGATGAGAGCTGGGCTTAATGATCGTGAAAGATAATTATAAACAAGGCCTCCATCTCCCTCTTTCCCCCCTCCCCCCCTTCCCCCTCCTCTGATTACGACCATGGTATTATGTGCAATATTGCCACTAATAGTCTAATAGATTTCAAGCAGGTAAATAAGCCAATTTAGTCTAATTTGCTTGCAACTTTCATCTAGTCATTTTAGCTAAAGTGCCTACTTACTTGTGCAGAGTCTGTAGCTTCGAAAGGAGTTTTTCTTGAACTTCATTCAAAATTAACATCAAAGTAACAAGATTCAAGATATTTTTTTTGTCATTTACGCATACATATTATATATATCCATGTACCAATTTCCTGTTTGTCTTATGTGACCTCATCATTCTACTTTTAGATAGGGTTGGTTTTGTGGAAAAAATAATAATCCTCAAAGTGTCTGTCTGTTTATCGACAGAGATAATGATAAATTCACGTGTTACGATATCATATGAGGCATTATCTTGAGACGTTAAACTTTACAGGAATATATTTCATAAACCTTGATTGCCTCCGATGACTTCCTTGCATGAGGCCGTTCCTCGTGGCGTTCCGAGGCAAATAACTCAATTACCAGTAATCGCCGTCAACTTGGCCCCACTGACTCGCCTCCTCTCTTGCAGGTAAAAATCTGGTTCCAAAACCGGCGAATGAAGCTGAAGAAGGAGCTGCGGGCGGTGAAGGAGATCAACGAGCAGGTGCGCCGGGAGCGGGAAGAGCAGGAGAAGTTAAAGCAGCAGCAAGACGACAAGAAGACCAACAAGGACCAGGCGTCGGCGGGCAACACCCCCGCCGGAGCAGCCACCAACGCTTCCTCCTCGTCCTCTTCCACCTCCTCAGCGTCGGCGGGAGGAGGGGCAGGGGATACCAAAGCTGCGACTTAACGTTATGGTGATTTCTCCCCAGATGGGCGTGCCTATTTAAACAGAAATTTCCACTTCACGCCCACACAATCCAATGACATGCACGCCCAGCAACTCCCTCTCACGTCCACCTCTCCAGAAGATGTTGCACTCTCCCTCACCCCGACCCTCAGCACCGCCATGGACCTGGAGATGTATAACTCGATATTAAACTAAGAATTTAAAGTTTTTTTTTTTAGAAAATAAAAGTGCAATATTGGTGATAGAAATTTTTGATAGTGATGATTTTAAAGCCAAAAAATTGATAAGTTCTCGATGATGATTGAAAGAAAGAAGGCTGGAAATGATGTCGAAGGCGGACGGCTGCGTCGAGATTTCCGAATCAAACTCGAGCCTCGTCCTCGCAGCCCGACGCCTCGCGCCTCCGGGTTCCAGCCTGCTCCTGAAGCTCCAAAGGCAAAGCCGTTTGAGGTGCGGGGTCTGGAAGTGACAAGGAAACTTCTGGAGCTCGACAACTATGTGTTCTTCATTTGTGAGGCACACGTGTGCTCTTTGGACGACGAGGCCACACCTCCAGCAACTACTTCTTCAAATAGTGAACAAAAGAATAAAGATTACAGAGACAGCAATTCCAAAATATAACAAATAGCCATCAAATTCTGAATGCAAAAGCAAAGAAACAAAGCAGTAATATCCAGATAGTCTATCACACACATTTGCTTCGGGAACTTCCTGCGTGTGACCTTTGACCTCACACCGGGGCCCCGAGGCAATGCATGACCTAAGGACATTTCTCCTACTCGTGAACTTGACCTCTGAAAGTAAAACCAAGTAACTTCATGGTTCATTTATATATCAACACCACGCGGGTTACCTTTCCAAAACGCCCTGTCGACTTACAAGGCTCATGGAGATAGTGAACGACAGTAGGATTCCTTTCAAATGACACGCCGCAAGTGCCCCCGGTCGGGTAAAGTCCTCTGCCACGCCAGCCTGTCTTGTAAGTCGACAGCGTGTATCATAAAAAAGTCTCTCGATTTGGTTAGACACTTGAGATGGTTCTTTTTTATATATTAGATCGTTTTTCTTTCTTTAGTCTAGTAACACGATCGTTATATCATGAAAATGACAATGATAAGTAAAATCCAGTCCTAGAATTTTCATTAGTCACCATCTTGAGTAGCTAAGCCAAGAAGAGAGGAAGAAGGGAAACATATATGATACTCATTGCAATGGATCCACACGGTTCAAGTGTCCCGGACGCGAAAATGACTCTTGATAGCCCATCTAGATTGTTATAAGTTAATAGTGTTGTTCATGACAGGATGCCAGTGAACAGATAATAGCAGATGATTAGCTAATCAATGGTTCCTATTCCCGATGTTTGTGAAAAAAGGAAAGAGAAATTGAAACTTCCTCATGATTTTTGTACATTTCGTGTTAATGATTAATGTTGATTTCTTATCGGCTTCTTTCGTGAAATTAGAAGTTTTTTTTACCAATGATTCCAGCTTTAAGTTCAATTTAAAAAAGAGGAAAAAAGGCGCAGATTGGAACTGTTTGACTGATTGGAATGCGGTAGTTCAGTGACTGAGAATTGTTACCTTGTAAATGGATTCTATTTATTTGTATTAATTGTTATGTTTGACGTCGGATTATAGGGTTGATCGCCATGCTGGTGTACATGCGTGGTGTGCATGGAAGGTATACATGTAAACCTTTTTTGTTGTATGCATGTTACCCCCAAAGATGCCATGGCTAAGTACAAAGAAGGAGAATTTGTATATTGAAACTCTCTGAGCTTCAATTCGTATTGGAGTCTGTACACTTTGCTTCCTCCTTGCAAAAGAATTATGAAAGGGGAACTTCATGCTATTAAGTCTAAAGTAAATACGATTTTAAAGCTTTTTTTAAGTCACTTCAGAGAGTTTCAACTGGAACGACAACGCATGTGGAGGCATTAGTGCAATAGCCGGTATGCTAAATTAGAGCTTTAAAGTTGATAAATGTAATTTCTGGGAAACTGTGGATGAATAGGCTAAGAGAAGAAGCTCGAGGAGTCCAATTTGGTCTCGAATACCTCTCTCCTCCGAATTATTTTAACTGTAATCATCAGTGTGCATAATAACTGTACCTTAGGCCAAGGAGTGTGCATAATTATTTGACCGAAAGGAGTAGCGAAACGTTGTGAGCTTAGGAAAGGCAGGCAAGGGATGACTTTGTGAAATCTTTTTGCTGACTGTCTTCACGTTTTTTTTATGTTGACCTATTACCTTACGTCAGTCATAGGGCCGGGGTCCTTTTGTATAGTGTGTAAGTAGTTGACCTTATTTGCCCTAGCTCTTTTGTGATATCAAATAAACAAAAAAATGAAATAAAAAAAGTAAATTAACATGTTCGAGAAAGCCAGGGCAATAACTTTGTTCAACCAAGTTGATATGGGATAAGATCTCAGATGGTTAAACAGTGGACATAATTTCTTTGTAGACGTGTGATCATTGTCATTGTTTATGTTTTCACTCTTTTGAAAATTTATCCTCATTTAGGCTAAAATGTTGAGTATTTTTTGTTTTACTTTGTATATATTCATAGCGTCTTTGAGGTATGTCCATCTGTTATAGAAGTAGTTAGTATTGTTATGGGAAAGTATGAAATTATGTTGATAATTTAAGTTATTGAGTGGATGTTGTCGTGAAGTTTGCCTTTCTGTCTGTCGTTTTCGTCACAAGATAAAGACCACAGGATCACGCTACTACGCCTCGACTCTCGATTATGAATGTCACTTTTTTCATTCAGTTTTCCTTTTCTTTGTGGATAGTGTAAGATTTCTCAGGTGTTCGATTCAGATCCGGTGAGCCGTCAGACGGTGAGACTTTGTGAAACATTCTGGTAGATAATTAAAGTGAGAAGAGACAGAGAGACAAACAGAAGAAGGAAGAAGAACAGGGAAGAGCAATGGTTATTGTTATTTTTTACTTGTGAGAGAGGTCTGAGAATCCGAACGGTAAGAATGAAATCAGAGGTCGGTGAGATCCATTGCGGGATCCTGCCACATTCACTATTTTTATGAACTTTATAGGGAATTCAAACCCATTAAAACGGGTGCATGTATCCACTTGATCCACTCCATATCCACAGGGTCAGCATGACCTTTTGGGGGATCAGAATACGTGTTAACAATACCAGTGACGCCGCCTTTGCGTCACATTGAATATTCATCACAGGCGACAGTAAACAGATATTTGGAGACGTTAGAGAAACCGTATGAAAAGCCGAGTAAATCTCTCTAAGGGATAAAAGGTAAAAGGTGTTTTGTCGATGAAAATATTGAGGTTTTTGTTTTTTTCCAAAAGAGGAAACCGTATTACAAGTTCACATCTTTTGTTGTTGTGCTGACTGCTATTTCCAGATGCATTGCAGTAGTAGTCCGGCTCTTCTCAAAATTGCATGAATATCGACTAATTTGAATTGTGTATTGTTGTATTCTTAATGATGACTTTTCATGGTAACAGGTGATGCATCTGAATGAGTTATACTTTTGGATCATTTGTAGAAATACTGACAACGGGTGTATTATTTTCTGCTAACAATTATGTTTGTGTCTTCAGGTAAACTAATGAGTGTTTTCATGCACATAGGGTTTTCTGTTGCTAATACCATTGCAATTACCACAGCCCTAATGGATGAGTTACTCCAGATGAAACATATGGTTCGAAAGCTGGTATGACTGGTGACAAAAAATACACACAACAAAATCTAAAAATCGACTTGGAAAACAAAAGGAATTGAAGAAACAAATTGGAATAAATGAAATTTAGAAGAATTGGTATCTTGAATTCATGTCCACGACTTACCAGAGACTTCAAAGCGTGCAAATATCCGACTACTGTTGTTTCAGATCCAACATTTTTTTTTTTCAAAGATTGGATACTTCTATTCCAAATGGTACAATTTCTCTTTGGGTGAGTAGGTGGTACCAACACCTCCTACTGACTCTAACGTGATACTGATATATGAACGACTCATCTTCCTCCTTCTCCCCCCCCCCCTTCTCCCTATCTTTCCCCTCCCCTCTCTCACTGGAAACCCTCCCCCTCCCCTCCCCCCTTTTCTCTCCCTCAAGTGTATATCTAGGCCATGCCGAGTCCACCTGAGTGTTTCATTAAAAAAGACGAGTGATTTTATAAAATATGGACTTCTTAGACTCTGGAAAATGTAAGAAAAAAGAAATAAAAGGTTTCTCTTGCCTTCCTTTAGTGGCGGGCGATAAAAGGGATGGACATTGAAAAAAAGGAAAAAACTTATTGATGAAGAGGAGAGAGAATGCACGCCGCAGGAAAATGCTGTGTACTGATGTATCCACCCTGGTGTCAGTGTTCTACAAAAAAGTGTATCCATAGATGTTTAAAATTGTAAGTAATTTTATAAATGTCCTTTGTGAATTTTAAGTACCAGATGCGTGTACGGATTTCGTTGGTCATCCTCTCTCTCCATGTGTGTTTTCAATGGCTATGCATATGCTAGGCTAATGTATAAAAAAATAATCAATCTTTTATTCATCGTACGTTATGCCAAATAATTTGTACTTACATGCGCCTGACTGCACAATGTGTTTTTTAGTAGGACCATGTATAAATATAATGCACTGACAATACTCCATGTAAAAAGTTTTAAGATTTTCTATTGTTCGCTTCATAGTAAATGTAGGTGACTCTCCTCCCTCAGCTTGGAGCAAGTAGAGGTATTCATATTGTGACAGAACTAAGCTATTTTGAGCCCTATGTAGTCTTGCTATAAGGTCCCTCTACGGAGGAAGTTTTGTGGTCCATGTAGCGCTCCTTCGTAAAGCTCAGATTAGCTTGTCTGGTCACAACATTAGGTGTTTTCAGCATTACTCTTGTAAGCTGTTGACTCGTTGAGATCCGTGGATGATTTTTTGTGCACCCCATATGCTCTTTAGATGTTGTTCACTAATTTACAAGAAGAGGCAGTCAGAGAAACGCAAAAACCAGAAACTCCCAGATGTTTTTTTAAGTTGAGAGCCTGTAGCAAAACCAGGGGATCCTTCTGAAGGTTCCTCGATGTATGTCAGGATTCTATTTTGGAAGAAGAAACAAGAGAACAAACACAAATGGCAATATCGTTGCTCACCTAACAATCACTATTGGCTGAAGGTACGAGTAGGCCAATAAGACACAATTTTTTTTCTTTGTTTGTTATAGAATGCGTGTACATTGTTTCATTATTATTATTGTATTGTAATAAGCAACATTATTGTTACATGCGTACAAAACCACAAAACAGGCTAGGACACATTTTCATTATTATTATTTAAGCGCATCCCAGTGTTATATACATAGTAGGTGTACATAAAGTCTATATGTTCTGTCCGTGTTGGTCGGTGTTTGTTCCCGGAGGCTCAGGACTCGGTGAGGACACGGTGCGCCAAAGGGGGAGCGAAAAGAAGGGGGGAAAGGGTAAGGGAAGGGGAGTTCTAAGGGTCTTAAGGGCAGGGAGGGGTCTAAGAGAAGTAAGGTAGGGTGGGGAGGGTCTTAGAAGGAAGGGGTAGGGAAGGAGGGTCTTAGAGGGAAGGGTAGGGAAGGGAGGGTCTTAGAGGGAAGGGGTGGGGAAGGGAAAGCCTGAGGGAAGGGGTGGGAAGGGAGAGGGGAGGGACATGGTGGGTGGGTCTGAGCTGCAAGGTGGGAAGTAAAAGGGTTATTGCATGTGCAGATGTTGAGTTATTAGAGGTCGAGGAAGTTTACTGGATCAAAAGGTGTGCCGCGATTTCATGTTCACAGAGCTCAGCTTTCATTCATATTTTGCTTTTTTTAGGGATAATGACATGAAAGAGAGAGAACAAAAAAAGTTATTTGAGTCACGCAACGAATTTCAGACTCAAGTATTCCTTTGTATCTTGCACGCCTGGGCAATATTTATACAAAGTAGTCGCACCTCTTCCTCAAAATAAACTTCAGTATAATCTTGCAGGAGTTTCTCATCAGAAAACATTTTTTTTAACTTGAATACAAAAGAACCAAACTTGAATTCGATTCCAATTCCATTCATTAATTTAAGTGTTCCTTGACCTTCCACTCGCCTCCCCAATGACGTCACTGGCCCCCTGTGCCTCAGAGACCTCCGCCGACCATGTGCTTGTAGGGTAAACAAGGGTCAGGGATGCTGTGTTGGCTGAACCCGGGATTTTCTGACACTTTCCCTAATCTGTCAGAATAATTTTCAAAAAGGAAAAAAAGAAAAAATAGAAAAAAATGAAAAATAAAGTGGTGAGAAAAGGTAAACCAAACTCATGGCTTGTGAAACGTGGGTATCCGTGTATAGTATCTGTGCATGTTCGAAACATGTTCACGCCATGGGTTCGTCCCTCGAGGGGGTGGTGGTCGCCAGGCTGGTCAACGTCTCGCGTGTATCCGGGGGTCAGTGAAACATATAGGCTAATTTTTTACTTTTTTCGCAAGTAGTGTGTAAAACTGCGTATTGTAGTACTCATATGGAAAACGCAAAACGTGTTCTTTTATATATACATAAATATATCTCTCTGACTCGAGGCCGTTTTCGGTCGAATCCCGAGACAGCTTGGCCAGGTGGACCGACTCGCCCCGGGGGAAGGAAGGCAGCCAATCAGCCACCGTGTAAACAAACCCAGCAGCTCCCCGGTGAACGAGCCGTCACTGCTTCGCTGACCCGTTCCTTTGGGTGCGTTCTTGAGGTGCAAAGACAAGCATTAGACACGAAAAATCAGAGGTTCGTTCGTTTTCCTTTAAATAAAAAAAAGCGAGAGAGATGATATCTGATACGCATGACTTTCTTCCTTCTATATAAATACTCCGTAGAGCAATTTTTATACATAATTTAAATGGCAAGGGTGCGCAGTACCTGTGACAGCTAGACATACCCCTCACAGAAGATGGTTATGCTCACCGATCTAGCGTTTGTTTTTGCACCACGACGCCCCCTCTTTCCGTGTCTGTAGGTGTCCCCTTCTTGACCCTCCGCGATCACTCTGAACAGGGCAGCTCTGAACGCTAAATGTACTTGAAGATATTGAGAATTATTTTCTCGTTTCAACAAATGGACCACTTTACTTCTCCCTCTAATGCGTGTTAGAACTATATAAAGTGTAATTATAGTCCGTTAGATATGGCATTTTTTTCCTCCTTCGTTTTTAATCTCAATTGCCGTCGTTGCAACATTTGTTTTGCAGTGGCCCACATTAATATTTTTATTTCTCTTAAGTAAGCATATGTTTGTCCAGAAGGGTTGAATCATGTACAGATATGATTATTGTTTCAAGAATACTGTTTGGAACATTTAGGGGTCCTCTTAAGCCTCCTATGTCAAGTGGAATAATGTACATTGTAGTCAACAAAACTAATAAACCTAGAATGCCAAATCCTGTTGTTTATTTACACCAACACCTCCTACAATACTTACTGGAACGAGGACATTAAAAGGAAAGAGAGACTGCACTCCAAATCAATATGAATTGTTATCGGATAAATCAAAAGGCAAAACAGAGAGATTTATCAGTCTAGTTTATCGGTCGTGATCGAGTGGGCCGATCGCCAAGGCCGTGTAAGGAAGGGAGAGCGAGGAGAACGTTGCAGTAAAGATAGAATGATTTACCCCCACTGCTGGAGGAAAGAGTGAGAATAACCGGGCACTCTAGGGAATAAAATGACCCCTATGCTGGGAGGGGTTAATGGCGGATATCTAAGTCTAGCGTGCCACTCCTACATATATAATTGTCGACGTTATCCTGCAACTTTGTGGTATAAATCCGCCGCTCGCATCTTGCCGATATAATTAATGAACGATGGCTCCGCCCCTCCGACCTTCGCATAAGGGCCATTTTGGCTTGGCCATGGCGACTTGGAAGACCTTCCAGATTAGACCTGAAGGTTACCTGTCTCCCGCCCTTTGAGGACACACGATGGATATAGTTACCTGGGTAATTACGGTGACGGTGCAGGGGGCGCTGGACCCTCAGGTAAACGAAACGTGCCTTGTTATCCTGCTGTCTTCTAGCACTTACCTGGAGCCGTCTTGACCCCTGGGGTTTCCAGCACATGATTTGGGCAAATAATGCTTCATTGCTGGAACTATTTATTTAGGTAACCTGTGCAGGTGTATGAAGTTAGACGCGTGTGTGTGTGCGTGCGTGTGTAAATGGACCCGCCAGTTCAAAAAGATGGTTTCTGCTAGATGAAGTTGTAATCTGTAATATATGTAGATGCAATAAGAAACGTAATTGCCAAGACCACGGCGTTGTCGGTACAGCAAGTGATAGTGTGGCCTGACGTACGGCCGGGGAATGAAGTTCATACAGATAGAAGAGGAAAGAATCATGTTTTCGCTTTAGACAATGGCGAGGAAAAAAGAGCGATGTTTGATTACGGCTCATTTTCTTCAGTTACACGTTAATGATCGTACATTTGTGAACTGTGCAGCACCTTCCAATTGAGCACGCTGTTAAATCAGCCTTGATAATCCACGGAGAGCAAGTTGGCAAAGCATTTCTGTCTCGTTTTCGTGTTCTGCGGTCTTGGTGTGGCTTCGGATAACTCTTCGTGTGCCTGTTGTTAGGGTTTCCGGGTTGCATATATCTACCGAGGCGTTTCATCAAGGGACTTAGTTGTAATACAGCGAATGGAAAAAATGGATAAGTGACCGTTGAAATCTTCGGTTTATAGAGTCAGCTGTTTAGTTAGAGTATTCTTTTCCAAATGGGAATACTTTGTTGTTTAGTCAAATCGTAGGTTTTCGAGATCGTAAAGTCATGATTTGTGTCATATTAGTTTATATTTTATATGTGCATTATATGTATGAAGGTAGTTGACTTTGATCAAAGCTTTTCACACTATCGATACACTAGATTTAACTATAATAAAAAGATAATGTGTGGGTATGCAGATATAACATTATACAGATTATGATAAATGAAGAATTTGCTTTGATAAGGATGTGGAGTGACTTTATTCCACATCTTTATATTTATAGTAATGTCTTCTAATTCTCTGTGCCCGAAATGGTCGTCGTGGGAGTAAATATATATATATATATATATATATATATATATATATATATATATATATATATATATATATATATATTATATACACACACACACACACACACACACACACACACACACACACACACACACACACACACACACACACACACACACACACACACACACACACACACACACACACACACACACATATACATACACACATACAGTTACATGTTAATATATATACATATACAC